CCAGTGCTGATTTCTTGTGATAAATAATTAGATTAATATTTCGTTCAGAATTCTGAACTCCTGAACTTTGAATAATTGGTTGAAACATTGTTTGAGTCGATTTACGTTTAATTGTTTGACGAGACCATGGAATATCATTAATTGAAAATATTAATTCATATGTATTCTATTTAAAGAAATAACAAAATCTCGATTCATTAGATAATAATAAAAATAAAAAGATTATACCGATTTATCAGTTAATAATATATCAATACGTAATTTTAAACCATTATAAAGTTCTTGTAATTCATTTTTTTTATTAGATTTAGTTCTTTGACCTTTTAAACCTTTTATACCACCAAAACTACGAATTTCATCTAAATATGATCCCGGAGTAGTCTGAAATTATTGAAAAATAATAAATTACAATTGAAATTAGTTTAACTACACATACTTCTTGCGATTGTTGGACATTACGAGTTTTTGATTCTGTTTTAGATTCAGTACCATATTCAAAAAGGATTTTTTCATCATCTCTTATATCAAAATTATTCCTACGAAAAATTTTAAAAAAAAAATTTTTTTTGTTTTTAAGAAAAACTATATTCGTAATTTACATTAAACATCCTATTTGAATAGATGATATTATTGGAGACTTCAATTGTTCATTCTCATTATCAGTACTTAAAAAGATAACTTCAAATGAATTATATCCATCTGGTCGCATACTATGTTTGCCTGTATAAGAAAGTGGTATTGTACCAAGCTGAAGTATTAATAAACCTGACTGATCTTCTCTTATATCTACTTCATGTGTATCATCTTTCTTGTGTGTTGTATATCGTGCAGGTGATAGTATTGTACATGCATCCTGAAAAACAAAAATTATAATAAAGATGAAATTTTATAATTGAATAAAAGAAGATTTCTTTTTTTTTACATAAAGAGCTTTGTTTGCTGTAGGACGAAGACCACATACAGAACAACTCGATGTAAGAGTAGGTGCTGGTGAATAATGATAAAGTGCCAAATCTTTCCATTGATCATACATCAATTCATTACCTTAGTTTTAAAAGAAGTTTATACTGAAAAATTTTTTAATATTGTTCGTTCTACTTACCATTTATTCGTTCGAAGAGATTAGAAGGATTTTTACTTTTTTCTTCAATCTTAATATATAGAAAAAAAAAAGGATTTTTTTGTAATTAATCATTTTAGAACAATACTTTAAAAGCATAATCATGTTTGACTAAAAACGCCCAAATAATAACATAATATTCTCTAAGAACATATTGAAATGATTCTTGCATTAATTTAATTGTTGCATCCGATGCATCTTTGGATGTATTTAAATTAAGTACACGAAAAGTAACACTTATATCTAATAAAATATATATTAGATAATAGTTTTTTGAAATTAAGAAAGAAAAAAGAAGTATACCCGTATGTTGATCAGTATTATGATGATATTGAACTAAAATTTCTATTGCTCCTTCTTGGATAAGTAAGAAATGTTTTGAACCAAGCAATGTTTTTTGTGATGGAAATAATTTATAAAGATGAAAGAGAATTGATGCATCACATGGATGTAACAAATGAAAATAAATTTCAGTTTCATATTCACTTGTTGGCCATGATTTACTCCAAATAGTATTCTAACATAAACATTAAAAAAATGTTGTACTTTTTTTTTCTAAATCATCATTAAGACAAATATATTTACTAATGGAACAGGTGGTTCTGATGATATGGAATTAAAAAGAACAAACATATTATTATCACTTTGATCTATCATTGATACTGGATAAGCAATATTCCATGTATTGAATAACCATTGAAAAAAATTCATCTATAATAATAAAAAAAAATAAATATAAAATAAATTGAGAATGAAATATGATTGAATACTTCGTCTGTATTGATTTTTAATTTTTTAAAATCACGTTTTGCAATCAAACGAATATTTTTATTAAGAGTTTGTTTGCAATGTTTTAAAATATGTTCAGTTTTTCGATGAGTATGTGTTTCAATATTGAAGAGATTATTCATTGTATTACAAAACCATTCAATATCCGAAATAAAATATGATTTACCATTCGATGTAGAATACATATCAAGAACTTTATCCTTAAAAAAAAAAGCAAAAACCATAGAAAATGTTCGTTAGTATGCCAAAAAAAAGAAACAAATTGGTATTTTATTTACATTAATTAATTTGTTTGCATAATAAATTTGTGCTGTTTTCGTTGAATTATGTGTTGTTGAATCTAATTGTTGTTCTTTTGCTTTACTTGTTAATAAATTAACAAGTTTTATTATTGGTCCATTTGTTTCGAATATTTTATTTTTTTCTTCATTTTTAATAAAATTATCAATACTATCAAACATATATAAAGGTTTGCAATGTTTAATGGAATCTTTCATTAAATGATTTGTTACTAATGAAGAATCCTATGAAAAAATATATATTATTTAATTACGATAACAATTCAAGAATTTTACATTTTGTCGAAAAATTAAACATTGATCTTTACTTAATTTCTCTTTTAACATCATACATTTTGTTTGAACGTGTAATAGACTACTAAGATAACGATTTCGACGAAAATCATCATTCTCTGATCTGAGAAATTATTTAAAAAAAATTAAACTTAATGATTTTTATAAATTTAATATTTATTTAAACTTACACATGTTGTGGTGTTTCATTAATAAATTGAGAATAAATATCATGAGCAGACTTCGAAATATTATCCAATTGTAAATGAATATTAGCAAAAAATTGTTCATCAGTTTCGTTATTATTAATAATTAATCGAATTTGTTTTTTTCGCTAAAATTATTAAAATAAATATTCTTGTCTTTTTTTTCTTCTTTCTATTATCTGTTTACCAAAATTGCAAATGATCTATTACAATCAAGTGAGAAAAAACATTTGAGTATATCGTCAACACCCGAAACAACTATATAGATTATTTGTGGATGAAATGCCGTACATAATTCTTTGAATAGAATTGACTTGAAATAGATACAAAAAAAAGGAATCTTCTTTTGTTTTTGGTTCGTTAAAAATTTAGTATTGAACTTACATTAGCACATTCAAGAAGTGATACTTGACATTCTTCATGTGTTGATGATAAATAATTAAGTAACATGGGAGAATTTTCTTTTAATTTTCGAATTTGATTTATAATCATTTCTTTTGATGATAACATTGAATTCTTATCAGTATTAGCATGATAAATTAAGACTTTTGTTATTGATACTTTTGTGCTCTGCAATATAAAAAATAATGTAATTGAAAAAAACAAATAAGATAGAAAAAATTTTACTTTTCCAAAGAATGGTTCAAGATTACTAATAGTATTATCAATCATATCAGTTTTATTTTCTATTGTATTATGAGCATGTAACATTAATTCAACATTCTAAAAATGAACAATTAATCGATGAATGTTCTAGAATTTTTCATAACTAAATTTAAATATTTGTTTAGATAACTTACAACATTTATTTGTCGATCAATTTGTTTTTTAGAAATCTTTTCAATATAATTCATAGCATATGGTGTTAAATGAGGACATGCACGAATACGAATTGTTTCAAGATGAGGCCAATCAAATTGACTTAATTCATAAAGATGAGCATCGGTTAATAATAAATTTGCATCACATTCAATTTTTCCTGTTAATTTAGCATGTTCATGAAAATAATTCTATACGAAATAAAAAAAAAAAAACAAAAGATTTATCGTTTAGTTTTTTTAGTTTATTTTATAAAGTATTTAATAACTTACTTTGAAATCTTTCATTGAATAAGATTGAAGGTTAGTTTGAAAAATTTCATTGAAATTTTGAGTACTTGTTATAGGTGGTAAAGGAACAAATCGTTCAAGATAGTCATTGTCTTCATTTTGATATACGTCTTCATGAAATTGAGTTTTTTTTTGAAAAATATCTTTTCCTCTAGTCATTTGTTGAACAGGCATTTGATTTGGTAATAATTGAGGCATTTTATTAGGTAATGATTGAGGCATTTTACTGGGTAATGAATGAGGCGTTTTTTTATAGAAATCCATAGGTTCACTTTCAACTTTAGTTTGTGTCTGTCTCTTTGGTGCTTTTTCTTTGGAAACATTTTGTGTTTTTGCAAAAAATTCTTTAGGAATACCTTCTTCTGTAGGATAAATTTCTTGTTGTTGTACCTCCGAATCATAGTCGTTATTTTGTTGGAAATCTTCCTCTTCAAGTTGATCATCCTTTGCCATTTTTTTTGATGGTTTTTTTTTCTTGGAACTTCTCGAATATTCAGCCATAATTATAAAAATCAAGTTTTGTTCTACTTAAAAAAATGAACTGTAGTGAAATAAAATTTATTCTTCTTATTTTATCAACATTTGTTGACACATGAGAAATGGCATGGTGACTGTAGTAACGACAACAACATGAAAGAACGAACGAATCTACTTTTTATTTGCTTGTGTTCTTAAGTTTTTTTTTTTTCTTTCTTTTTGAGTTACGCGTTTTGAGAGAGTTATAGACTTTTATTTTTACTTTCCTTTAGTGTCTCTATCTCGTTTTGTTTCTGAAAGAACTATTTTTTTTAAATCTAGCTTCCAACTGTTTCGATAGACGACGTTGTCAAGAAAATATTTAAAAAGTTTTGTAAAAGAAATTGATCATAATTACTGTAAGAAAATACTTTTAATGAATATCGAATAAACAAAATTATGAATATTTAAAATTGAGGTCAAGTGTGATTTTTTTTATAAAATGAAATAAACTGTTCTGTAACTAATAATTTAATGTGAAAGCAAAATTTTTTTTTCAAATATTTATAATATGGCAATATTTTATTTTTATATAACATTCATCCCACCTTCTAGTGCACATATGAATCTGTCGTGACTACTCTTTAGTTTATATTTTATATATAAAATTTATTGTATCTTGATCTTTTTTATCATCAATATAAATAGAATATTTTAATAAAAATTAATTTATATTTCAATTCAATAATTATGATTTTCGATCTAATATATTAATAACTTGTTGAATAAATTCATCACTTAGTTTATAAACATAGGCTTCATTTTTTGATGAACAACGACTGATATTAACGACATGTATTACAGGATAGAATTGTTTCAACGTTTGTGTAGCTGGATCGAGATCAATTAATTGTAAATTACGAAAACCTGCTAAACGCAATTTATTCCATCGCTTGTATGCCTTTAATTATTAATAAAAATTTCAAAAAAAATATTCAAATCAAAAAACAGAAAAATAAAATTCTTACCACACAATGTTTCGCATGATCTTGATCAGGAATCCAATAAACAACAATATGTATATTAAATTTTGTTAGATTATTTTCAAATCCCTAATTCACAAAAAAAAAATACACAACTCAATAACAAATTAAATTTTTTTCCAAAAAAAAATTCAAATGAAAATTAAATTTTAGAATAAAAAAAACAAAAAATTTAATTACTCCAACTTTTGATTCACCAAAATCACCAATAACACTATTGGAAAATACAAGACCACGATCTCTAAACCATTGAGGATATCGATTAATAGTACGAACAGTTGTAGCTGCTCCACCTATTTTATAATTAATATTTCATTAAAATAATCGAAATAATAGTTAAGACTTACCACATTGAGCAACAACACTAGCTGAATGTCGAAGATGGAAACTTGAGAGAATGGCAATGAGAATTTCAGGTCCATATCGTTTCCAACTTGTCTGATCTAAATTACGACCACTTGATTGACCAAAACCAGGCAAATCAACAAAAATAACTGAATATTGATTTCGTTGACTCAATGGATAGGCTAATTTTATCCAACTATTTTGGAACAATAGAAAATATAAAGTAAATAAAAATAGATAAAAAAATCAAATATCATACTTAGCCCAATTTCTTGTTGAACCAAATCCATGAAGAAAAAGAACACATGGCTGATTTTCTCTTTTTAAATTAATAATTAAAAGTATAAATAATTATAATTATTATTAATCTAGAAACCTGAAAGCGTAGTTTCCATTTATTGTGACTACAGTTTGATCAACTTTAATCGATATTGTTGTACTACGAATATTTTCAAGAAGCCATGAACGTTCGGCTTCATCTTCAAACGTCATTTGAGAATTAAATAATTGAGTTGCTTGAGGTGATAAACTTCCACGATCATGTCGTTTAAATACTACATTTTGCACTATAAATAATAACGATAATATAAATGTTAAGAATATAATAAAAAACTTACTTAATGATCGAGAAGAATTCATTGGATCTGAATATGCAAATTCTTCCGATTCGAATGATATGTCTGGTTGAATTCGTGATGGAGATTGGTTACGTTTTGGACTTTTAGATGCATGTCGAGTAAATTTTTTCTTTGTTGTAGTAGATCTCACTGGACTCGCCATGATGTTGAACTAACTACCACCATGAAGAAAAACTAGATAATATACATATGAACGTGCTGGCTCAGGCTGATACTTTAAATATTACTTTTTTTTATGTAGCATGAGTCATATGTCAGTTTTTACAAGTACTTTCTTATAATCATTTTGTTTTACATTTACATAAATTTCTACAAAAAAATTTAGAGATAACATGAGATAACAGTATAACGCAGTTCCATTATCAAGTATTTATTTAGGAAATCTAACTAACGTATGAAGTTGTATGTTTAGAGATAGGATATTTAGCGAATTATAGATAACTTAAAGTGAAAGAACTATGTAGAATTTTAGTAAATTTTACAAAATTTATCAATAGCTACTATCTAGACATAATTTGAAGTTGCATCAGATTCCTACACGTATGACATCATACGTTAGTTAAATTTCGTAATTAACAACTTGATAATAAAACTCTGTTATACTGATATTTCTTGTTAACTCAAACTTTTAGTAGAAATAAATGTAAGTAAAAACAAAACAAAACAAAATGAAATAGTTTTAATAATATGATTATAAAGAAACAATTGACAATTTGTGTCCCTAGTAACATATCATTACCATTTTATATGTAAACAAAAATCAAACATTTCTGACATGTATGACTGAACCTACGTGAATCAAAATAGAGATACGGGCATGAGTTCGAGTGAGCATGCCTATCTACAGTGTACACCAAAATTATTCAAAAAGTTTTATTTTTAATCTTTTTTCTCTGCCGTAAGCGTTAGAAAAAATCCAAATAGTGATTCGAATAGAGAAAATGCTTTTCTACAAGAATATAAGAAAATAAAAATGATTATCAGATTCATCAAGATAGGAGCTCCAGAAAACCAAAAACCTAATTTTTCAACTCGTAGAGCGCGTAAATATAATTTTGTTTAGACTACATTTAACAATAGAGTGAATCATTCTCTACAAAACGAGACATCTCCGAGTTCTTTGTGACGTTTTTTTAGCTGAAATACAGCAATTTAGTTGGAGATCGAAAAATGGCTCTTCTTTCAATAAAGGAAACCGAGTTAAGGACTTCCGTAAGATTCCCATATCTCCGCTAAACAACGTCGCAGAGAACTTGGAGACATTCAATTTTGTAGAGAATTATTTGCTCTATTGTTCTATGTAGTCTAAAAAGAAAATCATATTTACCTGTTCTATGTGCTGAAAAATTGTCCTTTTAGTTTTCTGGAGCTCATGTCTTTGGAAATCTGATAATCATTTTTATCTCCTTATACTCCTTTTAGAAACAATTTTCTCTATTCGAATTCTTTCTAGCGCTTAGGGCAGCAGAAAAAATTGAAAATAAATCTTGTTGAATAATTTTCGTACCTACTATATATAAATATACTCACCGTTATCTCAAAGAAAAAATATTACACGTGTGTATTCGTTTCGATGAAATGTCACTTGTGATTCATCTTAGTCATTTCTTATCATCGATAAGGTAAGCTTTTATTCTCTTGACAATCATTTGCAGAAATTTCATAATCTGTATTTCATTATCTGTTAAATAAAGTTTTTTATGGCATACATGTCAATGTCCATGTAATTACACTTTTATCCGATAATTTCGTTTTTCTTCGACTTTTTATCTATATCAGTTGATAATCATTTGAGTATAGAAACAAAATAACTTAATATATCTTATTACGTTTATACAAATTTTCATCTAATTTGCAGTTATTTTCAATCGAAAAGAAGTCAGTAGATATTGAAAATTAATCATCAGAGTTTCATTATACTTATGTATAGTTTAAAGTTTTCGCTATTAACTTTTTGGTTACCAACATAAGGAAGAAAATAACAATTTTTCAGAAAATTTGTTATAATTATTTATGGTATGACTCTAGCGCTTGGCATGATAAAATGATGATGTGAAAGCTCCTACTGCTTGATGTTTACTTTTATGCTAATATATATACAAAAAAAACATGCACCATCAGCGATTGAGTTAGTTTCACGCAATGATAAAGCTTGTAATACATATATACGTCGTCGGTAACCATAAGGTTAACAAATTCAACAATGAATAATTATCATTTTTTTTTCTCATGGACTTTTTTATTCTTTTGTCATTGAAATAGTTGTTTTTTATATGTCAAAAAATACGTATGCTTTTGAAAATAATCAAGTTAGATTATCGATCTTCCGAGCAATCTATTTTCTGAATATATTATATGAAGATGCTCTTGATTTATATTGAGAAATACTTCTATAATATTAAGTATCAATCGATAGTTATCGACTTGCCGAAAGAAAACTTTCGATCTTTAATTATTAGAAATATAGTTACGTTCAATCATACATGAGCACCAATTTAGTAATACTCTGATATATAATGATGATAAATAGAGCTCGGCGATTCTCAGAAATGTCTGTAAGCGGAACTACGGATCCACTTCCGATTTCGGCTAGAAGAAGTGCAAGGGAGTGATTCCAATTTCGATTCCAAAAAATATTTTTGAAACTGTTCATTTAATAATAGTACACAAAATAGCTAATATTTTTTCTCTAGAAATATCTTTAAACTTGTGATGAGCATATTCTCAGTTTCAAAAATGTTTCACTTCCATCAACATTTTCAATTAGTTGTAAAATCTTTTCTTTTGTTAATGAAAAAGAATTTATTATAATGAATATGAGTCTATTAGTCTTATGAATATATAAAACACACTAAAATAGTAAAAATTGTTTTTCACGTCTTGTTTAGAGACAATTAAAAAAGTAATTTCTTTACCTCACATAAAGATTAATATTCAATACAGTAAATAAATGAATAATTTATTCGTATCGAATTTACACAAAGGTAATGTTATTGTATTGAAAATTCTATGATCCAATCTAATACATTATAATAACTGTTTAGCCATTGTTGTAGTTATTGTGGAAAAGATTTGCAGTACCTACGTTTTCAGTTCTGAGTTCGAGTAAGAGAAAGTAAAAAGCTCAGGTTCGATTTAGTTCCCGATTGTAATTTTCTCGGAACTGCTGGGCTCTCATTATAAATCAAATTTTCTTCATAGTAGATAATTATTGATTATCGAGTTTAACTTTTCAAAGAACAACAAGTTGTTCAAGCAAAAAATTTCAATAAAAATTAGAAAATAAATCGTTGATTTATTCTACATCTTAAAATTCCTTTCTTACAAATCGAATTGATGCTAATCGATTCTTAAAAAAAGAAGAACCTTATTTTTATGCAATAATTTTGACAATAATGAATTTGTAAAAAGTGAATTATTGAAACATTCCTCGCTAGAGAGAAAATATTTCAAAAGAAATTGTAAAAATAATTAGAATCATTGAACTCTAGTTAATGAATAAAAAAAAACAAAAAGAAGGATAAGGAATTAGTATTAGTGCGTAACAACTCCATCTATCTCAAAAAGCTATTAATTGGTTCAAAATATACCTTCTACATTTTACCAGTAATTTCATTTGTCAGAACATGAGAATGTATTCTATCTGATCATTTTATCTTTAATTTTTCCAATTATTATTTAATAAATTTCAAAATCATTTAGATCTTCATAAATTAATAATTCATTTAAGATTATGGTTCGTCGTAAGAAAGATTCTGATTCAAACGACAATGATAAACGACCAATTCATCGGAAACAATCAAAAAAAATTACAAATGATGATGATGAAGAATCATCAACACGAACACCATCAGGAACTTTACAAGTTCGAAATAAAATGGTTCGTCAATTACTTTATGCTAAATTAAAACGTTCAAAATCAAAATCTAAACTAAAAGAACGTAAAGCAAGACAACAATCAGATGAACCACGAGAAGAACCAAAAACAATTGAAAAAAAACGTTTACGTGATGAAACATGGGTTGATGAAAATGATCAAGAAACACTTGATGATATATCAAATGATGAATTAAATAATTATTTTACAAGACAAGCAGATTCAACTGAACCAAAATTATTATTAACTAGTCAAGAAGGTTTTCCAACATCATTTACAAATAAATTTCTTAAAGAATTAGCAAGAATTCTACCGAATACAACATATTTTCAACGACGACATCATCCTATTAAACGAATTATTAAAAAAATGAATAAATTAGGGTAAATATAATAAAAAAAAAACCAAATTGATCAATAAATTTACTTTTTTAATTCTATTATTTTAGTTATACAGATTTACTTGTTGTTAATGAAGATCATGGAAAACCATGTACTCTTTATATATCTCATCTACCTGAAGGACCAACAATGAAATTTCGTTTAACAAATGCTCGTTTATCAAAACAATTACGTTCAAATCGTGGTAAATCATGTGCTAAATTAACTGTTCGACCAGAAATAATTCTTAATAATTTTAATACACGTATCGGTATACGTGTTGGTCGTCTTTTAGCAGCATTATTTCCTCATGATCCACAATATAAAGGTCGTCATATAATTACATTTCATAATCAACGTGATTTTGTATTTTTTCGTCATCATATGTATTTATTTAAAAATGAAAAAAAAGTTGCTTTACAAGAATTAGGTCCACGATTTACACTTAAACTTAAATCAATTCAACATGGTACATTTGATGCTTTATATGGTGAATACGAATGGATACATAAACCAAAACATAAAATGGATACAGAAAGGACAAAATTTTTTCTATAAATTGTTTGTTGTCATATGAAATAAAAACAAAAGAAGTAAAAGAAAAAAAGAAAGTGAAGTAATTCGTCAAATCACGTTAATAAAGGTAAAGTGTCGATTGTGTTTTCTTATTATACGAACGAATGGGCAGAAAGTTTTTAGACAAGATATTTGTCCAGTTTTATTCTGATAGAAAGTGTCAAAAACTATGAGTTAGGATATCGTTTTTGAATATAGACTTAGAAATTTTATGTCTATTTGTGTTCAAGAATAGTGGGGGACTTTTTGAAAGACCGGAAAAATTATTTTTAATAAAAAGCCAACAAGTTTTTGTTTACCTTATAAGTCCTTTTTTTTGAACATGTTAAAACTTGTCAGAGTCGGTCGTTTAGTAAATCGGACACTTCTCTACAAAATGTGATGTTGAACTGAGCTGTAGCTTTTACCCAAGTATTTTTTTCAAGAGCTTCTTTCAACATAAAACGGTTGTTAATTTTTCAAAAATGAGTATGTAGGAAAAATGAAAACTGAGGTATCTTGTCAAAAGACAAAAAAAAACTTGTAGGATAGTTTCTAGTCTACAAGCTGATATATAAATAAAGATCCAAATTTTTAGTTTCAAATCACAATAGTGAAAATACAAAAATATTTCGTCCAAACTAATTTCTTTTCTGGGCTTCTCAAAGGTTATTTCATTTCTTTCGAAAAAAAAATTGAAACAAAAATGTCTAAACTAATATTCGAAAAGAGCACAAAATCATAGCTTTTGACTTGTTGAAAATATTTTTTAGCGGATCAAAAGTGAACAGACGTCTTGTCGAAAAATTTGTCGATCACCCGATATTGAGTAATTAGACGGCAATTGACTGAAGAGATCGAAATCGTTTTCTTTTGTTTCTTCAAAAGAACATTTAAATTCTATTAGTAGTCATAAAAATTGTTATTCATGTATTCTAAATGAAGAGTACTAGTAGGACAAGAACAGCTTATCATATACCACCATCAAAATATGGGACACAATAGCGGAATTTATGTTTAATAGGTTCTCTCGCAATAATTCAATTGATTCTGACATTTGTTATTCTTGACATAGAAATTATAAATGTCCTTGTTGATCTCTACAAAGCAAATGTTTTTTCAGGTTATTGATTGTTTTCATTTATACATTCAACTATAATTGGTAAATTATGAGGCATATAAATCATAGAAGAATTTTTTTGTTTTAATTAAAATTAACCTACTTATATTTCAATTAATAGCTACACTAATTCTACTTATTGTTAGTGTATCAATGTCAAATACAACTTATTTTACATTTTCATCAATAATATATGTTATACTTAAACCAGTTTGTATTATATGTGAATTTGTGTGTGTGTGTATGTGTATGCGTAGTAATCTATATTATATTATTCTTTTATATAATATGTTTAAAACCATTATCACATATTCATCCATTCAAACGTGCTCCTCCTATTCAAAGTGCATTTAGTAATAGATGAACATCTTCTGTATTTCAATCATCTAGAAGATTCTATAATAATGGATAAAAAAAAGTATGTTGGCATTGTGAATATATCTCATCTTATATTACAAATGAAAATATTATTCAATGTTCTAAATGTAGTTATCAATCATATCTTGTTGAATATGCTCAACAATAGTAAAAAGAAAATTTATCTTTATAGATTTTTATTTAGATACAAAAGAAAAATCGCGAATTTAAAAGTAGAGAAATAAGGTTTTTTTTATTTACATTAAGGTCGACGTGTTCCATTCCAAAGTTTTATTTTTCGTTGAACATTAGTTCGAAATAATGGTGCAACAACAAGAAGACCTAATGTTGATATAATTGTTAATAGAAGAAAAACATAAAATAAAATTTTATCAATTTTAGTTGCTAATGCACGCCAATCATTTGTTACTTGTTGATCATGTTCAAGTTCTTTTTGTTTACATAATAGACTATGTAAAGTATCTTGAATTTCATCTTGAATTGATTCTGTTGAACTTGAATGAGACATTGATCGATTTTTCATTAGAATTTCTTCACTACGTAAATGTTTACGACTTGTTCTTTTTGTTTGTTTTTGTTCTTGGGAATTTGCAGTATGTATTTGTATTGAATTTACCTATAAGTAAAAATAATATACATATGTATTCATTTGATCATTTGTTGTTCCTAGACACACAATTTAAATTTGTAAGAATTATGATTTTCAAAATGAATATAAAGAAAATAAATTTTGTTCGAAGAATTTTTTAAGATTTTATTCAAATAAAAATGAACGAAATAAAATATTTGATTACTTTTATTTAGTACATCAAAGGAAAAACAATATTTTCGTTCTCTGTCAATAATCAATTGTTTTTTTTATTATGCTTTTTTTTTTAAAAAACACCTATTATGTTCTTGGGATAAAATAATAATATTGAAATTCATAGGTTTATTTTTAAAAGTATAAGCTTAATCTAATGTTACATTGATAAAATAGATGAATCGTTTTGTGGAAACAAAATTGTATATTATCAAAGTTTTATTCTATCGTAATAATAGTAGGTTTATTTAATTAGTTTTTTTTCCAATACATTTGAGTTTATCAGCATTACTTAACTACATTATGAATATATGTTTCCTTCGACTACAAGAAAAAAAAACAACGCAATCTTTATTGTATTTATTAAAAATATAATTATATATATATATATATTAATTTATTAGAAAATTGAAATACAGGATGGCCCAAAAGTCACGTACCCGAAAAAAAATTGAATATCTCTATTATGGCTAGAGGAAACTAGCTGATTTTTTTATCAATGTTAGAGGCATGTTCAAGCTTTATATTCAGAAAGACATGTCTAGAGAAGTCCATTGTTAAGTATCACTATTAATCGCAACAAAAAAATTTTACGTTTTTTTACAGATGAAAAAAAACAACATACTTAACAAAGGATCTCTCTAGTCATGTCTTTATGGATATAAATCTTGAACATGCCTCTAGCATTGATAAAAAAATCAGCTAGTTTGTTCGAGCCGTAATGGAGATATTCAACTTTTTTTCGGTAAAGTGACTTTTGCGCCACCCATTACATTGTTTTTTTTCCATCTGTGAAAAATTAAAATTTTTTGGTTAAAGTCAATAGTGACACTTAAAAAAAAAGGATTCACTCTCGCCTTGTCTTTATGGATATGGAGTGTAAATATGCGTTTACTAGTGATAAAAAAATCAGCCAGTTTGCTAGAGCCGTTATGGAGATATTCAATTTCTTTTCGGGTGCGTGACTTTTGGGTCACCCTGTATAACGATGTATTTATTTTAATCAATCATATATATTAAACTTATTAAGAAAAGAAAAGACAATAATTATACGTGTCAAATTAGAGTCAATCATTTTTTTCCCTCTTTTTTATTTGCTCGTATATTGTTTTGTATGTTGATGAAAATCTGGATCGGCATATGTATTTATATTGATTTGATATATAATTAAACACATTATGTATATATATATATTGAAAGGCAAATTGTCTCCTTATGTCAGATAAGTCAATAACTAATAGAAGCTTGTCAGATATTGCTTACAAGCAAACGTATAGTTCGAGAAGAACGCATTTAGTAGAAATTGCATTACGATATTGAATTTCTCTAAGAAATAATCTATTAATAAACTATAATTTGTTATTTTCAATTGAATCATATACTTCATCTAAACTTATTTTCTATGATGAAATAAAAAAAATTTTTACATCGGAAACAATAAGACATAAATTATCATTCAAATGATATATTTAAGAATTGAATTATATTATGAAGCATTACAATAGGGAAAGTACAGAATGAAAATTTTTTCAAGCTTAAATTTCATAAATATAATGATAATATGAATAGAAATTCTGCTTATGTCATATCTACAAATAAATCATAACAAAAGAATAATATTATTCTTCTATATACAAAAAACAAAAAACGGCTTGAAATGAAAAGAAACAATTATACATCAGAAGAGTCAGACCATCGAATTATTTGTTAGGTCAAAAGAAAGATGAATGAGTGTAAATCTTTTTTTTTTTGAGAAAATATGTCAGATAAGTTCATTAAAATGAATTGGATAGAGTTCTGTGACAAACATATAGCAGCCTCACTTGGGGGTAAGGCCTGAGGCCTTCTCTCATACTTCCTTTGAGACCACCGCTGGCAACAAATTTTAAAATTTTCCGAGAGACATGTAACTCCCTTCGGTGCCACTATTGCTACATAAATATAATTTTATATACTTACATCTGTTGTTACTCTTGATTTTATTTTTGTTTCATTGACATTTGCATAAGATAATAAAATTCCATTAGCAGGTACACGATTTTCTGTTTGTTGAGTTTGGTTTGTATGTTGAACATTTTTTTTATGTCCTTTTTGTTGTTTACTTGTATACAATGTTTTGATTTTTTTTGGTTTATTAAATGTACAACATATATTACTTAATGATAAACTTAATAATTGTTGAAGCCAAAATGGTATTTCATTTTTTTTTGGACCACGATAATGAAGATTAAGAACAAATACAGTCATCATTACGGATACACTTGTCATAGCCATAACCGCAGTTAAATATAAACCTTAAATTTGAAAAAAAAAAACAAAATAAATATTCTACAATTTAGAATATATAATATAAAACATACTAATTAATGGAATATATTCACTTGTTTCGGGCATACTTTCAGCAATAGCTAACATAAAAACACTAAATGCAAGTAAAACAGTTATACCAAGAGCAATTTTTTCACCGGATTCTGGTGGTAAACAAAATACAAGTAAAGTTAATATTGATAACATAACACATGGAAAAACAACTGAATATAAATAATATAAAATACGTCGTCGAATACGAACATAAAATGTTATATCTGGAAATGGTTCTGGACAACATGGATATCGAACAATATTAACTTGATATGATGTATCTAATAAATCCCATTCACCATTTGGAACATAACTCGATAATTCAATAGCATAATTACGTTCTTCAATTGATACTTGATATCCATTATATGTCCAACTGCCAAATTTAAGTTTACATTCTTGTTCATCATATGGAAAATATGTTACATCAATTTGACATGTACTTTTGAATCGTGTTGGTATTGGCCAAAAAACACTACCATTATGAATAAGCATTGCATTTACTTGCATGGTATTACTATTTGAAAATTCATCGGCATTCTGAAATCAATTTGAAATAAGTTTTCTGTTCTATTATTTATTTATTTTTCTTGTTCTTACATTGTAAAGAACAATATCTGGTAACCAAATGAGTTTGGACGGAAGATTAAGACGACGAATTCCATTGAAATCAGCTGGATCCCATTGTAGAAATTCATCAAACCTAAGGGAAAAATTTTTAAGATTTACAAAAAAAAAAAATTTTTGAATAATTACCATTCTTGGTCAAGCCATACATTGGTGATCAATATTTGATTTTTTTCTATCTGAAAAACAACAAATTATTCTGTTTTTTTTTTAAATTTAAATCTTTAATATTAACCATATCAAATATTTGAGTTAATGTTAAACCAAGTTTAACCGGCACTGGTAAGCTAGCATTTCGTACTGGTCGAACGTTATTCGAATAATTTCTATATATATATGTTTAAATATTTAAGTTTACAAATATCAATAATATATATTTATTACTTCATTAAAAAATATAAAAGACGTTGTTCATCTGAACAATTATTTAGTGTTCGATTATCGCAATCAAGAAGTGTACCAAATGGTGATCGAAAATCTTGACATTGAGCTAAAAAGAAACATAAAATTTTGTCATATTGATAGTATCCAAAAATTACTGAGATGTATATTCAGCTATTTCATCTCTTTTCTTTTTTTCTATCTAATCTTTTGTACAGTTTCAAGTAATAAAACATTGATATTTATCCTTCGAACTATATTCACAATTGCCGGTATGATACTGAATGGGAAGTAGAATAAAAGTACAAAATACAGATAATAACTAGACTTTTAAAATATTGTTTACTAGCAAAAAAAGATAAATCTCGGTGAAAATAAATCAAATTAATATTAAAACTGCATAATAATGATAATATAGAAGTGTACTCATTAGAATTTTAACAGCATATATCATTGAAAATTTATGAATTATTTAGAGTACTAATATTGATAAAACAAGAAAAGTAAAATTTAGATAAGAAGAATCTTGTTGAACATATTTATTTTGTTTATTTTTTTTTTATTAAATTTACCTACCAAGCAATGCAATGAATATAATCATAATGAATATTGACAAAACAATTGATCGATTGTTTCTAACAATCGAAGGATGTTCCATATTCTCGTTTGTCGATGTTCAAGTCGAGATTGATGATATTCTGTTCTTCTTCGATTATTTTTTTTCTCGTCTCTACTAGACAAAAATAACAATAACTTAAGTATTGACGGACTCTAACGTTCTCTTCTTTCTCCTATACTTGCTTGCCTTTCGGAGACGATACGTCTTCTGCTCCTCTTCATTCGGCAAAAGGAAGAGATGCATATATATAGAGAGACAGAAAAGAAGAGAGAGAGAGAGACTGACTGACAGACGACAAGCAGAGAGATACAGAAAGTGTTCGCACTTTCATTGGAAAAGATGATGAATAGAAGAATAAATATTGTTACATTATGTGTATGTAATGCTAATCACACAGATTTCATTGTTTTCCTTTTTCTCTACTTATATATTTATTCATGAGAACAAGAGAAGTTGAAAATGTCTAGTTATCCTTTTTGTATTTGTTTAACTCATGGAAATTTTCTTGACAGTCATTCTTACTCGAGTTACAACAATTTGCGATTGTCATGTGGGCGTGATACAAAATATATCGTGCTTTTTTCACTAAAAGAGATACAGATGTGCACGCACATTTGTTGAACTTATTTAGAATCGTCAGTAATATTATTTAAAAGCACCAAAGTATCATAGAATGTATTAGAAATTATATTTTTTGGCCTATCTGTCAAAAATTGTCGATAATAGAAATTTTATATAAAATGAATTTTAGTTTGAAAAAGGTCAAGAAGAAAAATCATTTTATTATTATATATATAAGAGTTCGAACAAACTAAAAACATCTATTCTTGTTGAACTTTATGTTCGATCATTTATAATAAGATGAGAAGAAAAACAACAAAATAACTCTTTCAATAGTTATTTTTGACATGTTTAAAAAGAAAAAATTTATTAAATTGTGTATGTGTCATAAAGAAATGAATAAAATTACAAAAAAAAACAAACAAACAATCAAACAAACAAGGGGAAAAGTTATTTTTTTTTGTTTTGTTTAAATAAAACACCCTTTGATAAAACAAGAAGAAAAAAAAATAATGTTAAAGACAAAAGTATGAAGTATAATAATAAGAATGTATATACCATGAATGGAATTTCATATGATTAAAGATGAAAAAAAAGAAAAATTTGTCGTTTTTATTTTTTTTTAATTTTCTCAAGTTAATCGCTGTTTTTATAACACACATGATTTTTTTTGATTATAAAAACGAGTTATACTCGTCTAGAAAAGTAGAAGGATAATCTACTTTTTTTTTTCTTATTTATTAATGAATTTTCTCACCACACCGGATCTATGTACATTATTTTTTTTTCTCTATGTTGTTTAAAGATCATTCATTCTAATTCGACTATCAATATGTATTTGTTGTAATGCACTGTTCGATTTAATGATTAGTTCATTATCACTTCCACCATTTAATGTATGTCGTGATTTAAGTACACTACGAAAATCAATTTGTTTTGTTTCATTTATTATTCGACGTTTCGATAATGTTTGTCCTGTACTTAAATCTTGACCAGTTTTACGAAGTAAAATATGAAATGCATATTTTGGTTGTGTTGATAATGAAGATTCCTATAAGAAATTAAAAAAAAACATCATGTATCAAAATAATCTATGTTTGTTTTAAAAGAGAAAAACAAAAATTATCAAAATCTTATTATTTTTTTTATCTCCACCTACTTTTATTAATTCTTCTTATATATTAAAAAAACAACAAAAATTTAGCTATTTATATCATGTTTTTGCGTATATTGCATTTCATACGACTAATGAAAATTTATTCTATGGATTATAAAATATATTCACTCAAATACAAATTAGAACTTTATGACATTATTTTTCTTTTGTTTTTATTAAATTTTGTTATCTTTATTGTGAATTTTAAATATAGTTTCAATAGTTTTATTGATTGTAAGTACTACGAAATGCATTATCTTTTTGCCGAATGATTAATTAAATTTTCAAACATAGTTTCTATTCAGTAATTAAAAAGAAAATACTCATCTTTTTTCTTAAGTCATGTTTTTTATGGAATAATAATCAACACTTAAATTCAAGATTAAAAATTGATTGATATATTAAGATAATATAGCTTATCTTCTTTCAAGTTATGAACATATTCACATATCATTGATTGAGATTCAGGATATGCCGAAAGTAGAACCTGTCGGGTTCAAAGTTTTCAGACCTTGACGAATCGTACTTTAATAGTCTTAATGAAATATTCTAATCGACATTGGATAATCGCCTCGAAGATATGAGATATTTTTTTCTAGTTTTTTTTATTCGACGATTAGTACGTCCTACACATGTTTTAGACGGCTAGAACCCATCGGATCAGTGGCGTACCGAGGGGGGGGGGCGAGGGGGCCCGCCCCCTCCCCCCCTTGGAGAAAAATTGCCTGTGGGGGAGTACGGGTGAAAAAAATTGTATCATAACTTTTATTACAAGTCCACTGCGGGCCCCCTCCTTACAAAGTTGCCCCCCCCCTTGAAAAATTTCTGCGTACGCCACTGCATCGGATATAAAATTTTCGTACTTGAACTAGGTTGGGAACCAACCTGATGGGCTCTAGTCTAAAGTGAAGAAAAACTTTCTTGACAATGATTGAAAGTCCATGGGAAAATTTCCGTCCTATGCTTTTAAAGAGTTTGCTATCGTTTATGATTTACCGGTGTGATTGGTTTTGGTAGTTGATGTTGTTGTTTTGGTGATGCTGGAACTAAATTAGGTAGAACTGCAGATGGTGTTTGTTTATTTTGTAATATAGCTTTATTATTGCTTGCAATAAATGCACCAATACCACGAGGTCTTATATAATTATTTCCATTGAAATTTATTGGACGATTATGAATACCTCCACCAGCACCACTACCTAAATGACCAAAACGTTTATAAGCTCCATGATGATTATTAATATGTTGTCTTTGATATTCTTGTACAGCATCTAAAACGGTTACTGATTTTGGACTACGACTTCGTTCAATAGATGAAATTTGATTTGATGAAGGTGCATGTTGATTTTGAATATGATTTTTTATTGGAATATGAGAAGGATGAAGATGATGAAGATGATGAAGATGATGATGAAGATGATGTGAATTAACCGCTGCTGCTGCTGCTGCTTCAGCACGAGCAAATATATCTCTGACTTGAGCAAATTTAGAGACTGGTGATGTTGATGGTGATGGTGATCGATTTGTTATTATTAATTGATGACGAGATTGTGGTGATGATCGTGCAGCAAGAAATAATGAAGGTGGTGGTGGTGGAAGAGGAATTGATGATGTTATTATTGATGGTTTTATTAATGTTGGTGCATCCGGTGGTGGTAATGGAGGTGATAAAATTGTAAATGATGCTGGTAATGGTAACGGTGGTGGTGGTGGAAATAAATATTGTGAAAATTTTTGTACACATTTTTTATGATGAGATATATTTATTGAACAAGATTCAATTGTTTTAAATGGTACTGAATAATTTGTTTTAACAACTTTTGTAAAAAAATCATTACTTATTAATTCAATTTGTTGTAAAAAACATAAGATCTGTGTATGAAGACGTTGCCGATAAAGATAATAGGCTTTTCGTATAATAAAACCACGAAAACATTTTTGAATTGTTGTGGCTGCTATTTCGTATGATAATGTTATATTTGGTTTTAATTTATTTATTTTTTTAATATGACAACGTTGTAAATAACCACGTATACATGATTGAATATAAATAGTAGCTTTGTCTTTTTTTAATTGTTCATCATCAATAATAGACTATAGAAAAAAAAAAATTTTTAATTTTTTCTAATCAAAAAGATAAAACTAACTCGTGAAAATTTTGGATGTCGATGAAGCTCTTGTATAATCATGTCATTTGAATGTTTATGTTGACGTTGTTTAAAACGTGAACGTACTAAACGCATACGAACATATGATTGTATTGTTATTATAGCACGTATCATATTTGAATGAAGACGTGTTAATTGTTCAGCATGGTAATATTTTAAAAAAACTTTACTTTTACCTTTCAAGACAAAAAGACCAAACAAACAAACATTAAATAAGAAATTCAAAAAAAGAAAGGAATGAAATACAAACCCGTTGTCCAATTTTGCATTTTTAATTTATGTAAAATATTTTCACATGTTTCACGCGTTAATGCTAAATCCATAGTAATTGGATAAGCAAGAATAGAATAACGTTGAATAAAATTTGCAAATGGTATACGATGTGAAAATCCATAACGACGAATTTTAGCCGCTAGAAATAACATAAAACATTTCCTTATCAATGAATTGACCTTAATAAATCGACTAAGGGCAGGATATCCTGCTATTAATGTCACAGGAACCTTTGAGTACTTTATGAGGTTTGTTTTTTATCACTTAACTATAAAATGCTTCTAAATGTTTAATTCACTAACTTGGTTGAAAAATTTTTCATGGAATTTTATAGAATCTAGGCAGGTACTTGATAAGTACCTATGCACTGAGACAATTCTCAATAGAGCATTCAGTTGACAAATGATTCAGTACACAAATGTCTTGAACTCACAAGGGAATGTATTCAAGTATCCAATCACTTTTTGAATAGGCTATGATGAGTAGTATCAAAGTCTAAGATAGTTCAGTTGTATGATAAAGCTCTCAATGATATTACTTCACTATGAGATTGAACATTAACTATTGTGTGATCTACTTTGAGATATGAATGATGAAAACTTTCTAAAAAAAAATCATTCTTCGTGTACTCACATCTCTAGCTACGAAGCACTAAAATCAACGAAACTTTAACAATGAATTAGTATCATTGAGAGTTTAATTTGTGTAAAGTTTCAAGTCGAAATTCGATTTTTATCGTGACATGAGGCTTCGGTTAAAAAATCATGAAACTTTGCACATCTTGTAGACCATACTGAATTCTGTCTTCTATAAAAAGAGTTCAT